AACCTATTCAGTCCTTTGTCAGACGAAGTGAAGCGTAACAACTATGACCTCTAGCCGTGATTAACTACTATTTTCAAACAATACCTTGGTTGCCGATATTATAGGTGCGAAAAACATCAGCAGAACTCTGCAGTTTCGATTCTTCTAGCCTTGAACATGGTATAGCAAAGTCGATGGTCTCTTTATACAAGAACTCAATCCCGATACAGGCTCGTGAACGAAGCCCATAAGAACCAGAGTCTATGTTTCACGCCTCCTTGTTTCTTTACTTTCTTCATTTTCTCTTCTTCTAATGTATTCGTCAAAGCGCTACTTACTCAAATATTTGCATAGGCTTCGCACAGGGGTTTACCTGCAGTTTTTCAATTGGCGAGCAATGACACTACCGCATGTGAGGTCGCTTTTTATATCGCGAGAATTCATTGCCACTTCACTCGACCGAAGTGCTGTCCTCGCTCTATTATCCTGGAGACAACTTCCCTTTCTCTGGAAAATGTCACTTATGGTAAAAGTTTCATAAAACGGATTGACTTGAAAGACAAATGCGGAATAATAGGAGGTGAGTGTTCTCCTTGACTGCCCTCTTTGTGATTCCCTCAGAGGGACTCATTCGAGATGCTTTGAAAATACCGGTACTTAGCAAACTGCTATCAAACGTCTTGTTTAAGATGATAAACGACTTGGAGGTTTTCCACTTGGGTGGTGAGAATAATTGACCAATCGATGTTTTGAGCGAATTCTGGTTTTATCTTATGAGACCCTTACCAGACCCTTAAACAAGGCAACAGAGTGTTGTGTAATCTGTGTTAGAGTTCCTTATGAGCCACTTCATTTTGTCGATTCTTTCGGCCCGTTGTCTTCTCTTACTTCATTGCTTTCTTTTACTTCTTGCACTTTGTGCGTTTTTGAACTTCAACAACATTTTGAGCGCCCGGTTTGAACGATATTCTGAGCAGGCAATCCTTTGCACTTTATCCCGAAATCAACTCGTGAAACTGAGCATGACATGAAAATGCTGAATTCTGGGAAGGAATGGTGCCAATTGTCACAGGCGAATAATTAGTTCAACGCGGACTGAATTAATATTGCACTGTCATGTTAGGCGAGTGCCGAGCACAATTTATTCGCCAGTCGAATTTAAGTCAAATCCACTGGATGAAAGTTGTTCAAAAGTCGACATTTTCCTGTAAATAATCAAAGAATTATTCGATTTGGCAAATGGATATTCCAATGTGCGACACAGCAATGCAGTAAGTTGATCCTCATTCTGTAGTCTTGACGATCTCGTATTCGACTATAACTCCATATCGCATTTCTTTTTCCTGAAACAAACTCGTGGAATTAAAATTGTTGGAACAGGACAAGCCAACATACGGCAATACGAGGGTTAAAATGTGCCTACAACGACATGTTATGCTCCACTTGAGTTAAATCAACGGCCTCTTACGAGCAAGTTCGAGCAAATTTTCTGTTTGATTGATTATAAAAACTAACGAATAAGATATTCTCTTTCACTTACCATTCTTCTTGCATAAAAAGTTAGTGGTTGTGCTTAAGAAAATTTTAGTTTTCTCGATAGCCATTAACATTATGTTTTAGAACAGAAACAAACAAGAAATTTATTCCGCATTGGTTTATTCAATATAAGCAGCAGTAACCAAAGTCTCAGGTCATTGTGGCCTAATATTTGTCACAGGAATGTAAATTATCTTTTGAGAATACACCAAATAATCTCTTTGATTTTTTCTGTTACCCTCAAGGAGTAAAGTCGCTATCGTATGGGACTCAACTCTCCGAAATATCTGGAAACATTTTTTTCCCCATAAATCAGTCGAGAATTTCCACTTTCGTAAATGCTTTGATTCACTGATGCATGCTTTTACAACTTTACAACTGTCACGGTAAAACAAAAAATTCACGGCAAGTCAAAGTTATCTTACGGCTAACAAAAACAACTAAAGGCAGAACAAAATTTACCCACGACGAAACAACTTTCCGAGTTTAATAGGAGTTTAGACAGCGGTTGTCATCTGCATTCAAAATGATACGTTGTGTATTAGATAGCAGTTTATAGAGCCGTTGATTTTAGGTACTTTGTGGTTTGTCTTAGACAACTTCGACCATGTGTTATGATTAGTGTGGCAGTGACTTTAGATCCAAAAGAGAGGTAAATGCTACTATTTTAGATAGGAAAACTCACTCACCACTTATTAGAAGTGAAACCTAACCAACTTTTTTTTTACTATTTTTATTAATATTACTGTTATTGTTGATATTGGAACATTACTTTACTATTTAAGTTTGTGTATTAATGATTACTGGCTCTGCTGAAGTTTGACAAGAGGAAATGCGGTGTATTCGGCCATGAATAATATTTCACCCGCTGTCCACTAAAAATGCCAATCTCTCGTGTCCAAATTGTATTTCCCATTGATCATAGTTATAGACAAAAGTCAGGGGCATTTATTTGTTGTTCCCCATCGTTCAAACTTTTAATGCTTTGGTTCATTTTGAGGCCGTGATATCTTGTCTCGTGATTTGGCTAATTTATTTGAAAGGACTCCTAGAGAGTTCTGTCGGTTTGTGAGAAACAATAGCACATAAAAACAATAGACATTTAAACCTCTCCTCATGAACAACTTTCGCGTTTTAAGTACCAACCTACGTATATATGGTTATTTCCTTCACTTCCTTCACTATTCTTATAAAACATGTGGTCTTCGAGTATTGGTTCCATCTCCATGAAAAAAAGTAATAACGCAGAATGAGAAACGCTTTCTACGGCTTCTGAGAGTTCACTTTCTGAAAGACTCGCGGATTTTGCAAATATTTTTTTTTCTCTCAGATAATCAATGATGAATGTCGAGAATGCCACGAACCTTACAGAAGGACAACGACGCCTCCCATCAAAAGGCTCACTGTCTATTCATCAGAAAGCACTTTACCTATTTTGGTTATCAGTTATATCGCTGGCAGTTTTTAGGAAGCTTCTGTTCTTTTTCAAAGTGCCAGCCATTCATACGTTTCGCCTGATAGCTTCTGGTAAGTCTGTCTGTCTGCTTGCCTGCCTGCTTGCCTTGAGTTCTTTCCTCTGTGAGATAATTTCACTTCCCTCGCCTTTTGTGACTTTATAATAAAAGTAGGGGATTTTAAAAATGGCCCGAAATCATTAAGTTGAGCTGATAGGTCCCACACCACTGATTTTTTGCTGAATGTCTCCGTTCACACACAGTTTTGACTAACCATAATTAACTTCATCTGCATCTAATTAAATGTACAAAAGGACATCAAGTATGAAGACCCTTCTGAGAAGCGTTTCCTATAGTTTCTTTCTCAAAGATCTCACTCTCTTTTTTCTTATTTCCTCCATAAGATAATGAAAACTGTCAGCTTGGATGGGCAGAAAATGGTGACGTACCGCAACAAGCTGTCCAGAGTAAGGAACATCACGCTATTGTGCAGGAGAATGATGTCGGAGCAAAGTCTGCATCACAAGCACCTGGCAGTTCCAGACCGTCAGTGGATCATTTTCTCTACACTGTGGCTATATTTGGGTTTATTATGTTCTTCTATTATTTGTGCGATGATGAACACTATTTCCCCGTCACTGAACGCACGTATTCACGAGACTTATTTTGGTTTCTAGTCCTCCTACTTTTTGCAGTAAGCGTTGGAATGACGAGGAAGGAGACTACAGACAAGATTTTAAACCGAGAACAGACCGAGGAGTGGAAAGGCTGGATGCAAGTCATGTTTGTGTGGTATCACTACTTCAAGGCTGCAGAGACTTACAATGCCATCAGGGTGTTTATTGCTGCTTACGTTTGGATGACTGGTTTTGGTAAGTTGGTGACTTTTTTCAGTCAGCTACATTACGAATCTTAAGTACATACGTTCTTGAGACACAAAAGGCAGACAAAAAACCTATTCAACCGAAAAAAGAGTTGAATTACTCCTAGCGTGCTTTCTGTGAGATCAAACGATCAGCTGGAATGAGAGCGAAGGAGAAGAAGGAGGAAAAAATTCGGAATTTCCGATAGAAAGAACTCTCAACCACGGCTGGTGTTGAGTCTAAAAAACGTAGGAGTTATTCAGTTCCCTATCAGAACTTGAAGGGTTGAGGTAAGATAAAAAAACCACTCAGCAAAGTGTAAGAGCACAGGCAGCCCAAGCTCACGTCTCGAGGAAAACTAAATGGTTAATTCATGAAAGCGTCACGCGTTGTGTGACTCGGTGTTAGGAGAGGAGCCGTTGAGAATTTGAACGTTATAAGGAATAGTATTAGGAACGATATATGGTCGATTTACACAGAAGAATATTTCGAAATATGAACATTTTACAGGTAAAATCAATAAAACTTATTCACATCTTGTGTGTCCGCGGTGGTTTTTGGCGATTTCTGCCGTTTAAGCTTGTTTTGCCATCACTATTCTTGTTATAAGTCGTCTTAAAACAGGAATAACAGTGATGGCAAAACAAGCGGTAGATATCACCAGAAAGTGCAACAGATACACAAGATGTGAGTAATTTCTATTGATTTTACGTGTAAAATGTTCGTACTTTAAAATATTTATCGTTGTAAATCATCCATATTTCGTTCCCCATACTATTCCATACAAGGTGTTGAAATTCTCAACGGTTGCTCTTGTAGCTGAGATTCAGGGCTGAATCATACAGCGATATGTAAGGAACATTGCGGCACATTAGACTGATATTGAATAAAACTAATGGCCTACAGCTTTCGTCTTTGTTTTGATCACGATGTCAGCCTCCTGACTTTCCAGTGATTTTTACTGAATGATTTCGATATCCGTAGATTTTCTTTTCTTTTTGGTATGTTAGATATGGAATAAAATTTCTGATTTGGAGACTGATGTGGTAAAACGGAAATTTAAAATAAAACCGTCTGCTCGTAAGATTCCAGATTTAAATTAACGCAAAAAAATTGTCAATACCTGTAGTTAATATTTCATGGTTAATCTCCTTTTCACTTTTCTTTTTGTAAATACATTATGTATCTCTTTCCCTTTAGGTAATTTCTCGTTTTTCTGGGTTAGGAGAGACTTCAGCCTTTACCGAGTGCTCAAGATGCTTTTTCGACTTAATTTCTTGGTGGTAATAACATGTTTGGTGGTACGCAATGAATACATGTTATATTACATCTGTCCAATGCACACGTTTTGGTTCCTATCTGTCTACTGCTTCATGAAACTTCTGAATACTTGGAATGAAGACCCAAAAAAGATGACCGTAAAATTTATGATATATTTCCTTCTTGTCTTTTTAATGTTTGACGTACCAGGTGTCGGAAATGTTGTTTTTAAACCTTTGAGCTTTATTCTTAGCTATGAGAATTCTCTTCACGAGTGGATGTTCAGGGCGGGGCTCGACCACTATGCCACTCTCCTGGGCATGCTCTGTGCTTACTTTCATCCCAACTTTGAGCGACTTATGAGATATTTGGACGAAAAGTCGTCTGCCAAACGAATTGCCATACGGTGCGGAATTGCATCCGTTTGCCTCACAGCCTTTGCTCTCTGGGTGCGGTACATCTTTGCACTAGAAAAGTATGAGTATAACAAACTCCACCCATATTTTTCCTTTGTCCCTCTGCTATCATACATTTTCTTACGGAATGTGTTGCCGGTTTTTCGAAAGTACTATTTTTACATGTTTACGTGGCTAGGGAAAGTTACACTAGAAACGTACATCTCTCAACTGCATATTTATCTCCAGGGTAACGCTAAGTTTCTGATCTCATTTTTCCCTGGATACCCACTCCTGAATTTTGCTTTTGCGTCTGTTCTTTACCTTTTCTTGTCATATCAATTGTTTCATCTAACCGTTGATATCAGTTCGTTTCTTATACCCAAGGATTACAACTCTTTGATGAAGACGCTTGCTATTGGAATTGTGTGGTTGACGATGTGCTACTTTGCAGGGTTTAGTCTAACAGGATTGTATTTTTCCTAAAATAATTTGTTCCTTGTTCACTTTGATGGATACCACTCCATATACAATCATTCGCGCGACTCAAACAGAATACACACCAGTATGACCGCAACTAGTCTCTTTGAAAAGATAATTTATGGCATAAAAGTAAACTGAGTTAAGGGGGCAAATCGTGAACCAAGTTTAAGTCAGTAGTTTAAATTTTCCTTTATTTCATAGATCTCTTATCTAATACATAAAATTTCAAATTTTATCATATAGTTCATTCTTTACAAAATAGTCATTGACCCAATTTTCAAATTTCACTTAATCAAAGGAAATAATATTGTACCTACAGCAGAGTGCCATTTGAGCGCGCTAAGTACGTTTTATTTCTAACGCTGGGAAATTAAGGAGAATCACGTGTGTTTCAATAAATATATCATATAAATCCATCCAGCCAGTAATCAGGTAGCATTATAACTTTATATTGACGACTTTTGAATTTATACTTACTCTCATGCCTCATCCACATGTACGCTTTGTTTAGAAATTACAATAAAGCATTGAGCCGTGAATTTAATTAAACAAGTTAAAAACTTCAACTGGGGATAAATAATAGCAAAATGACTTAAGAAATTCGAGCCTTAAGGTATACTCGGGTTAAGCAATAAGTGAGATTTTTTTTCAGTTTACCTTCGAGCAAGCATTACCTATTGTCAAATTTGTACATCCTTTTTTTTTGGCATACATGCAGAATATTCCGCGGACACGCAAAAGCGTTCATTAAGCATGATATGCATAGTGTGGATTCATAACGAATGCTGATCATATATAACAACCATGAAATAATCAAAGAGACTGAAAACAAAACACCAAAGTGCTATTGTTGTGCAGGATGAGCGCCCATTAGGTAAATTTGACAGGTGGGATACTTGGATATTTAAAACATTCTGACATCTCACCATATTTTCTGTTAGTTATACTATAAATTTGCCTGGAGTTTCGGGTGGTACTGTGCAGGCCAATGCTCGTTGTCTCATTTGTTCCACTTATCTCCTACGGAAACAGCGGCAAATTCTTCAAAGTCCTTAAAAAAAGGAAAAACAATAAAGTTGAAACTTGTGACCGTCAAAATTGCGTTAACTCCGTAATAAATTCCTCAACAAAGTAATTGATGTAAATGAAAAGGATTTAAGGATGAAAAATTTTGCAAAGATGGGGTTGCCGTTTTCTGTGAGTCCATTTAGTTGTGCCCAAGTTGTTTGCTTTGTTCCTTTCGTCCGTACATACTGATGAAGTCAAATCTACTGATGATGTCAAATCTTAGGCTTCTCATACACCGCCAATATGGTGCGAAATTCATGGTAGGTCAACGCTAGTTGTTCACCTCTTCATCTCTTTAATAAAGATTCTTAAGAAAATCTTCTGGGTTTTAAGTTCAAGCCATTTTTGGCTTCTGATGTCAGCGTGTGTTCAAGATGCCCGAGCAACACCCCTGAAACTATAGGTGGCTATATCGCAGGAAGTTCGCAAGGGCGGATTTATTGATGGGGTTGAAGAGAACGGCGCCCTAAGCTAAACTTTTCAAAGTTAAAAAAAATAATACATACCTTTATCTGCGATAGAGCATTCAACAAGCTGGCACGGTGGTCCTCCAAGCCTTTCTCCGAGTTGACTGAAAGCTTTCGCAGTGTAATTTCAGACGCACCCGGCTCCGACGCAGTAGACATTCTATGCCTATCTGTGACTGTTTTCCCGTCTTCCACGTCCTTTTCGTCTTCAGTGGGTATCTCCACGGAAAGGTTGTGAAATGCTACCTTAGAACCTGAAGCGGAGAAGCGCTTCCTCCTCAACTCAGCACTATCAGCTAAGTTAGGTCTCGAAAACGATTGATCGCCTGGTGCGCCTTCTGAGCTTACTGAGATTTTCTTTTCCAAAAATTGTTTCTTTGCAAAGATGGGTGAATCTTTCAAACCCGAGTCTTCCTGTGAACCCTCAGAGGACCAAGAAACTCTACCATGTCTGAAAGGTTCACCTCCACCTATCTTTCGACCGCCGACGGGAGAGATTTTTCTGAGTTCTTTCTCTAGCACAGCTAAGGATACAGCCGTGCTTTGCCTTCGCACGGCTTCCAACGTTTCCTGTGTCCTTGGGACCTCTCTGTCTGACTTATCCTCCGCCGACCCCTGAGAAGACGTGGACTCGGAAGGAGAGTTTTTAAATTCATTGCGTTTTTGTTCTACTTGAATTCTGTTACTCGAGCTTTTGGCGAAAGAGTGCTTCCTCACTGTTTTCGTTTTCATGACGTTAATTGTATCCAATGCTTGCGCTTCGATCTTCTTGTTATCAAGCAAGTCTTTTTCAATTGTCTTCAATTCCCGATTCACTTGTTCAAGTCTCTCCTCAACGCGATGTCTATCCTCAGTGCTCGCTGCCTCATCTTTCCCCAGAAACTTCTTCACAGTGTTTTTCTTTTCTTGTGTCTTATTTATTTTCTTTTTCAACACATCTTTCTCAAGCGTAAGTGAGTTTCGGCGCTTCTTTAATAGCGTTTCCTTTTTCAGAGTTTTGAGTCTTTCTTCCTCTGCAAGTTTCTCAAACTGCTCTATAATCTTATTAGCGCCTAGCTTCGGGGAAGATGGACTAATTTCTGTATTCGCCCCTTGTGTCCTCGACAAAGACAGAGTTCTACGCTTTGTTTCGTCGATCGCTGCTTCTCCACTAGTGGGCTCAGACATCACTCCATCCGGGGTAATAGAAGCAGAACGACGCTCTTTCAAAGCCGCGGCCGCTGACCTCTGCCATGCTTTTTGGGCCTTCTTAACTTTGTCAAATCTCTGTTGCCCTATCTGTTGCATCAACTGCTGATCTTGGAGAAGTTTCAATACGCCATCAAGTGATGTGGGTCTACAAGCGAAAGTACTTGGCTTTGGCAAACCTTCACTAGGACTGTTTGTTGATAATGTTTCTTCGATTTTCTGCGAACCTACCGGAGAGTTAGAGCTGGTCTCTTGAATCTCGTCATTTTTCTGATAAATGTCGGCTGGGGACTGATCTGTCGCACAGAATGAGGAAGTTTGGCCAACATCTCTGGATTTATGTTCTGTTTCAACATTCACTACATCGCTGCGTTCACGTTTAGAGCTGAAAGAGTAGATCGTAATTTGACTTAGTCATTTCAGTCGCAGTTGTCTCTTAGTTGAAGGCCCTAGGGTGCTTAGAAAAGACAAATTTGAGAATGGTGTTCGTCCGATCAAGGAGAAAATATTTTCTATTGACATTACCATTCTCTTGCTGGTTATTTAAAATGTTTTTTAGTTTTGGAAAGGAGACCATTTTAACCATAAATGACTAACAGAACTTCCAAATAATTTATGCCGTTGATTTGTGAACAAAAAAGGAAGAAATTTTGCTTGGACGGGGAGCTTGCTGATTTCTGCCAACTTTCCCACTCGCTATCTCTGAAAAAGTATGGTTCATACCACCAGTTTTCCATTGTTTCCAATAATTTTACCAGTCAGCCTAATCAGTATAAATTCCTTGTTACTCAGTTCCACTTCGCTCTGAATTACATTAAGGGTCGTCCATATGTGAGTATTTCATTTAGGTACAAACCTTTCAATGGCGTCTGCTTCTTCTGCTACTACCCTCAGCAACCTCATCCAACTTAACATCTCCTTCTCCGAATCAGCGGCAAAACATAAATCTTCTTTTTCTGAAGGAACATTCAGTTCAAAACTAAACTTCTTAGTTTTTTTGCTGCCGCACCGTACTTCGCATTGTCTCAGGGGGATCGATCTCGTTGGCACCATTTCATCAGGTCGTCTGAACAGATGCAGTTTATCCTTCTGTAACACACACCATCGCTTTGTCCACAGCCCTTTACCACTCCTCATAAAAAGACAGGAAGAGTGTTTCACGTTCGCAATAAGTTCCTGAGACACTTGCACATTTGGTACCGTGCGACTGCGACGTTTTCGCTTGCCAGGAAAATGGGCGATGGCTGGTATGGCGTTAGAGATTGAGCGGTGAAGTTTACTTCTGGTCTTTCTCTCTTCCTCCTGTATTGAAGAGAACCAACGCATTTTAGTGCTAAGCTATGTTTGTTACTTCCCATAAATTTATTTTGCAGTAGACTGACATTAGACTCGCGATTACAGCTTTTCAAGGTTTCAGCACACAGAGTACCTGCTCTCCTTCGGAAAAGGATCGCCATCTTTCAACTGGCTCAGGTTGCAGCGGTTCATTTCTAGCAGCAGATTCGCTCTCATCACTCTCTGAGTTAGACACGTCACCAGCTGTAGACGGCTGAAAGACAAAAAAAATCTTGCTCAGAAAAAGGGACTTCGAAAAATAAGAGGCTTTTCCTGATTTACCCGAGGTCCAATAATCGCAAAGCTCATCGAGGTTAAATTTTGATTCCCCACATTACAACTGAATTAACACCTTTTGTCGACCTCTGATACTTCAAGCCACTAACCCGAGGTGATGGATTAAGCGGAGTGTTTGGTCTCACAGGATGACCAGTTGGTGATGTGGGCGCCTCTTCTGTCTTCTGAAACACGTCATCTCTATCGATTGAATCACCCTGGGTTTTACCCAGTAGGCCTCGGTGTGTTCTGTCTTCGTCCGTTGAGCTCCAAGTTAACACTGGTCTTCGGGGATTCTTGGGTGAGTTAACGATGGACCCACTTATTACCTTCTTCCACTCATTGTACTCTGTTTGAAAAGGGTAAGAAAATTTACGTTAGTGTATCGATTAAGAAACTTCGATGCTAACATACAGTTCTACTTAACGTCTTAAAATCATTGTCTTCTCCCTCATTGTTGTTCTTTTGTTTACATCCTGAATTAAATTACTTGCGACCCTTATCAAATCTGCATATAAATGGGCACTAAAAACATAAAAGCAGTTAGTGGCAATCTCGTTCGTGCGATTTCTTCATCCACACCTGATTCGCTTTGGGCTTGCAAAAAGTGTGTTCTCCCAAGAGCTCGACGTATCTCCATGACAAACGGTCGTTGTTGATCGCCCCTGTCTTTCACCACACAGTTGCTGAGCTTTAATTTCACCACAACTGAGTCCTCGCTGTCTTTATCATCGTGTATATGTAGAGTATGATTCTCAAGTTTTACCTTAAAAAGACAAACAAATTTAAAAAGAAACAAATGAATAGAGATGTTAATCAAAGAGATCGTTTAAGCGATGAATCCGGCTCACGTCAGTTCGCTCTTCTCGTTTACTGGCAAAGCGGTTCTCAGGACGGGGAGAAGGCGAGACTGAACTCGATAAGTATCGATGGCAAGGTTAATATCGACTCATCGATAATATTATAATATAACAACATATTTGGGCGATTATCGATCAGATCATATGTAATCATATCAATACTAAAAATAAAGGCTTCTTAAATCGCATAGATTTCAAATGACTGCTTTCAATCGTGATAAATTGATGAGGCCATCATTAAAGGTAACATTCTTAAAATGTCGTTAAGCTTCATATATTGCAGCAGGCGGTCTGAAACTGAAATATCACTTGCCTTGCCTTTTTTTCCTAAACGTTCTATTGGCT